ATCGAAACAACAATTAAGCTTGATAAAGTATTTTAGACCTATCTACTTGCTTGTATCAATCCGGAATATCGCCAATGTTTTACGGTGACTCGTGGATCTTACGAGTTGCTTACTACTGCAAATTCGTTTTGGTGCAAAGTTCTGGCAAGGCATTATCTTGTCCGAGTTGTTTGCTGCGCTTCCGGCATCAACGTTGTAATCCAGGGTGATGAGGCATCATGTTCGGCGGTGCAAACGGTTATCAGAGACGCGGGGGAAGCTTTGCTGTGTCGGACATATGTCGAATCGTCCTTTACTTCTTCTGAATCTGTTGATCTTAAAGGACTCTCCGTCATTGATTCTCTGAGCGATTTCTGTAAAAGGCAGAGTATTGGTGCCAAAACATTTTTGCTCTGTTGGCTGGAATGGCATCGGTGCGATGTCGCGCGTTACGTGTCTGATGGAAAAAGCCAGCTAGAACTTCGACTCACATTTGATCCGGAGCCGCATCGGCAGCAGCCCACTTTTTATGACAGTCGAACGCCACAAACTCCAGATTCATTGCATTCTCTTTACCCCGTAAGCATAGTGAAAGGCGTCAGTTTTACCGAAGTATCGATTGTTTTTTTGATAGGAGTATCCTGACATTGATTCTGTACTTTCCGCCGCCCCCGAGCCCAGTGTTCACTGTGAAAATATACCACCCCAGGTAGAGGCAAACGGATGCTGTGCTTCAGGCGTGCCTTGCGCAAAAAACAATGGAGAAGGAAATGGTAGCAAGTGGTTGACTGTTATCTGACGATGGTTGATCTGATTCTTATTTTCAGGTGTTGTTGATGCCTCCAATTCTGCTTCTCGTTTGAGACCCATTATCATTGATGGTAAAAACGTGGCAATGATGTAAGTTCAGTATATGTATTACCAATTTTTATTCAACTGCGTGAAATAAATAAATTGGAGTGAGTTATTCGGTTTTATCCATTTGTTTAAATTTATAACCTGACGTGTTTTTTCTAATTTTCAGTTTATTATCGCTCATAATCATAGGTAATCTGAAATCTGAAAAGTATGAAAACGGTTTATTGATACACAGCGCAAGCAAATTGCTCATTCGGATGATTAACTAATACCAACCTTTCGGTTCGGCTCTCTGGGTCTTCTTTATGGTGGTCCGGATTGATTACTGCAGTTCATTCTGTGGTCCTCGGCTGTTGTGACGTTTGGAGCCAGAGATGTGCTTTTGACCCGCGCTGCTGATTAAGTAGTTTCTAGGTAACGGGCTTAATAGAGTTAGTCTAATTCGTGCTAAGTTCTTATCCTTTGTCGCGGACAACATTTTCACAGGATTGAATGATTAAAAATCATTTAATTCGTCTGTTCTGCCTGGTTTTTTCTTTAAGGGTGGTCGCCACATCTAACCATTGGGGAGCGTGAATTTTTGCTGCTGTGTGTTGCACAGTCGCTGAAGCCATTTTGCGTTGTTCTTTGACCTTGTTAGTTGTGAGGATTTATTTTCTTCCTGGATCCTTTGTTGCTTCACGTCTCTCGCACTCGTTCACAACCATTCTCGCTACAACTGGGTCTTTAATCTATGAGTGACAGTGCTCCCTCTTTCCCCTGTGTAATATTTCTCACAGTCACACGGTAATTTGTGAATCCATCCTAAAGAGTTGTTATTATTAGAGTTGGTTAACAGAGCATTGATGATATGTCCTATAATGTGCCAGGACTTTGCTCATGAAATGATGGCTTTAGTTTCTGCGGGATTGTCAGAAACAATAGCTAGGAAGTACCCACTCATAGGGTTATGCGCAGTCAGAAGCGATAGGATCGATTCGTACGTCGGACTTCTTGATTCACCCAGTCTAAATGATCTGTCTTCTACTGTCGAAAGGGTACAAGCAGACGTTTTCTAGCGATGATTTTTTTTGTGTATGACTGCGGAGCCGGTAACGGCTGCATGCTAATTTTTTTACTAGGAGTAATTTACGACTTCTGTTGCAGTCGTCTAACTTTTGCGCCGACAAAACATATACAACTTTTCTCAATTGTTTCAGTAAATATACATGATCTACAGAATACAGTGAACCAACGGCATCGCATCGATATTTTTCTTACGCCAGGCGAAACCGAGGCGAATTATTTGCGAATATTCGATGCACTCAACTGGGCTAGGCAGCTCAGTCACTACTGACCGATTTGGAACACGCGGTCATTAATGTTTTTCGAAGAAGCTTTGCGAATGTCCTGCATCGCAGGTGCTTGTTTTACGTTAGTTAATGGAACTGCTGAAGCATTGAGGTTTTCAGCAGAGATATTCAAAGGGTACTACCTTCGCTTTAAAAATCCGAATGTTCGTTGCACTCTTCTTTGTACCAGTGCAATATGTACAGTGAGCGTTTGAAGTCGTTTTCAGAATGAACGATTATTGGGCCACAGCGCGATCGTTTATAGATCGGTCGAAGATAGATAGATCGACGTCGTGTGGCAGTGTTGTAATGCCGTCACTGTAAAAATCTGGAATTGCATTGATACCATACATGAAAACCAGCATAAAGTAGATAATGCTATCTTAGGTTAGCATCGAAATTTGGGCAGTTTGTATGGAATTTCATCGTTGATCTACAAATGGAACAAAGCCTGGACGAAGCGAAGATCGAACTGATTAATACATTGCTAGTCGGTTGCGGCCTCCCGGTACAGAAATGCGCTGATTCAGCTCAGCATGTTGTCAGGATGGTTCGTATTTTGGTGGGTACTTCGAAATACCCGAAAACGTTATCGATGATTCGCAGATTCTCGATTTCTAAAGGGTTATCGCACACAGTTTTAATTACCAGTTCAGCAGTCTCTAGTATATCCTACTGATTTTTTGCGTTGTGTTATGCAGAACATGCTTGTTTGGTAATGAATTATGGGTCGCAAATACCAGATTAATGCCAAAAATGTTTAATAAAATTATGAGTAATATCCTTTTGTTGATAGCTGTTGAAACAAGTGACAGCTAACGGGTCATCATCAAATTTTACATTATAAGAACCGACGCACGACGCAGCGAACGACTGTACAGACGATCAGCAGTGTGACCAGAAAAATGACGCGAGCAAATTAGTGCAGAGGTTTTTTGTTATATCATTTTTGAGGCAAGTAGAAAAAATGTGGATTCTTTTAAAGAAAGGACTTGGAAACATGTTGGATTTGTTATTCAGGATCACGCTTTCGGTATTCCTGAACATTTCTGTAAAGATTTAGGGAAGGGAATTGGATTGGAAGGGGGAAAGATAATGCGAAATTTGACAGCAAGGTAAGAGGTCGATCTAAAAAGGCATTACTCAAATGGAGAGAAGTGAATGGAGTGGTGTGCGACAAGAAGATGCCAATCAATTGAAAGGGAAGGTGTACAAAACGATAGTCAGTCCGGTGTTTCTGTACAGATCGGAATGTTTGGCTACCCTGAAGAGACACGAGCAACAGCTGAACTCGATAGAAATGCGAATACTCTGATAGATGCGTAGTGTCAGCAAAAAGGACTACATCCAGAACATCTTCAAAGGAAGCATTCTATGCGTAGCATCATTTTCAGAATAGCTTATCGAAAGCGGGCTCCGTTGGTTCCGTAAGATGAAAAGAAGCCCAATCGAGTGCGTTGGAAATATGGTCATACTACTGATACTGCCAGGGAAGCAAAGAAAGGGAACCATCAAAAAGGTGACGCGATGTCATCATGAACGATATGAAACTGCGAGGTGTCACCGAAGTTATAACAAAGACAAAAATGTGGAGGAGATTGAGTCGGTTAGTGAACTCCTGTTAAAAGTAACACGCTCGGAGAAAAAGAAGATTTAGGGAAGGGAATCTATTGGTCATGTGCGTTCCTTTGATCGCTCGAAATGTCCACAATAAGAGGACAAAGATTAATATAATGCATATTTGCTTCGTGTTCGAATGAACCATTTATAATGCTTATTTAACATTCTCCTGTCACTTCTCCGGACATGCACAGTGTGGTATACCATTTCCTTGTTTCTAGTAGCCTAGAGGACAGCTTAAGCGGGTCACGGCTGCATAGTACTTTAGCATCTGCAGTGTATGGCACAATGCAGCACCAGTTTAATGGGTGGAACAGAGCATGTGCGAACGCCAACGAATTTACTTCGGTCCCTAGGCATATATGCCGAAATTAGTGATTTGTAATAGACCAGTAATAACGGTATTTATTTGTGGTATAACGTTTATATAACTGTATTGTATTTTTGTGATGAAAAGCGTGTGAAAATTGCTCAAAGGCTCACTCTTATAAATCTCCCCTTTCACTCGCTCTCCATTAAGTTTCAAAATGTATTCGCATAGAAATTCGTTGTTTCCATTCATTAAAAGAACGGTCTCAAAGACCTAAAGATCCAAAGACGCAAAAATACTATTTTTATAATCGTTTCATATAACCCGTTCTTTACCGGCAAGCCGTTTTTCAGTGAGTTCATGATGCGTCTAATGAGTGCCTGATGTAACATCTTCATCACATGCCCAAACCATCGCATTTGTGGCTTCTCGACCCCGAAACAGAACGGATCATAATCTAGGGTATCTATAACTGCCATGTCCTGACCTTTGTCGAGTGTCGTTATGCTAGCTTCTTCTTGTAGTACTTCTTGTGATATTTGCTAGTACTTCTTTAAACTTGTAAATATTCAGTATGTTCATATGATCCAAAAGTTTAGTAGTTCATTTTTATTTTCGAAATCAAGCAGCGTGGTGCAGCTCTTTCATTTGATCAGACTGCCCTGATCGACTTTTCCATATGCGTCTCATACCTTCGAAGTAATTCAGTCACACCTCATCTCGTCATTTTGTCCGTTCCTAAAAATCTCAGCATATATTGGAGTCCTGTCAGGTGGATGGTTTTGCCTATGCAAAATGATGGAACTTAAAGGAGTTAAGGGCATCTGCCTCACACAAGCATGACCTTTTCTATTTTCGTAACATATATCAACACATTTAAATATAAGTACGTAGAGTAAAATGAATTAAAATTTATTGTTCCTTTAAAAGAAGAAAAAGTCGTAAGTCGGTGCAAAGAATCATTCGCTTGACAACGAATTAATGGGAGTGAGAAGTACTGACGTAGTTGGTACTAGTACACCATTGAGTAGTTTTCGTATCAGCGTAATTACATTGTTCTACTCAGTAATGTACTCTGGACCAGGTGACAGGACTTCGGTCGCTGTACTTAAATGAACGTTAAAGGATGGCGTGAAACCGCGTAGATCGAGGACTGCCTGTGCTGTTGTATATCAATACGACACGTTTTCAAAACATCAGATGGTGTAGTTGCATGTTGTAAGGAGTTTAATGATGTAATAATGTTAAACTGACTTCTAAGTATAAAACCTGTGCCCCAAATGGTGGACAGTATTACTGCTGTTCGGAATATCTGTCTTAAAGTAATATAATCAGACTAAATTTTGTGCCCTCAACGATGTATTCAGAATGTTTAATATTGAAACAAACTTAGAGCTGTGTTCTGAGTCGGCAGCATTGTCAGGTTCACTGAAGAATTTACACGAACTTGATTCATCTTTTGCGTTGCATAATGGCTGTTGTTTAGTATTATCCGCCTTATGGTAGTATGCGCTATTTTACGGCTACGCATATTCAGTTATCGTTAAGCTAAAGTAGGCCTTATCAATGATTATTTGGTATCATGACTGTATAGCCCGTTATCGTAGCTGAAATCCGGCGGTCTAGAGTTTGGGAGTGTCTGAAAATTGAACGATTTTTCTAGCACGGTTTTGGCATTAACATTTTCTTTTTCAAATTACGGCACGTTCGGTTCAGTTGTTTTGTAATCCATCATCCATTTATGGAAGCTAATGGCCTGCAAGCTAGTTCTTCTCAAAATCAAAAAGTTTGTCACTGGTATTTTCTTCTTCCTACCTATTTTTCTGTTCAGAAGTGATTGAATAATATCAGAACTTTGTCAGTCTTTGTTTTGAAGAAATATGAGAAATCGTATCAAACGAGCACAAAAATAGCGCGTTAGCTTTTCCGTTTTTTGTCTGGTTATTGTTTAATTTCGATGAAAGTATTTTTTGTTGTTTGGAATATGCATTAAATGTATAGCTTTTCTGTTTCGAAACTCGAAACGTTTCGGTCGTGAGGTTTATGTGTTTGAGAGAGGTTAGGCCTGTTTTGCTGTTTTTGTTATGACAGTTTTAGCGTCCCTTGTCTTTTTCTTGATCCCGTGATCGGTGCACGTTGACCACCTACTGCGTAATCCTGGATTCAGGTAGCTGACGATGTGGTTTCTAATAGTGGCGGACATCTTTAGCTGAAGTTTAAGGTCATATAGGAGTAGCAGCAAAATTGTAAATTCCTTAAATTCCTACTCGCTGTTGCCAGACACTGAAAATTGCAATAGTTACGATATTTATCACCGCCCAATAACATTTCAGAATTTGTCCATAAAGACATCATTGGCTGGATGATCGTCATTATGTTTATATTGCCGCGACAGAATGTGGTGATGACCACTTTAGCACCTCACTACCGAACTGGTCTGCAAAATGTAGACGAATGCATACTCAGATGCAGTGACATAGCGGCATGGTTTTTAATGAATTGTAGAAATCGGATGAGTTCCTCTTGGAATTTGTTTGACAGAGTTTGTCACGAAATTTAGGTCTCTGTGTTCATGATCTCTGTCATTTGCTTTCCTGTTTTTTGATTCTGAGAAGATTTGAGAAAGATGGACTGTTAGCATGATGCCGCATTTTTGGTAACGGACTTAACGTCTTATAGATCCCCAAAGTAAGAAAATAAACTCTTTGACGGCCTTTGCCAAAGATACAAGATAGTTAAAGGGAAAGTAATCTCCACTGTGTTTTGTTTCCGGTTTTGATGTCGTCAAGCTTATAAGCATAGCAAGCTTCATTCACAGTTTTGCCATTTATGGTTCTTTGCCAACATTTGCTGACTTTTAATCTGTTCTTTCGATGATTGTATTGAAATTTATTTTAAGGTACGGGCGATATGAGGACTTCCAACCTTTTGGAATATTGGTATGCGCTAGGTATTTTCTGGAACGTGGCCATGACGTGTTAACGTTTGTGCCATTTGGTGTAACATGCCGCAATTCGAAGGTGCCTCAAGATCTCAAGAACATCTTGTTCTGGATGTTTGACCAGAAACTGCTGTTGTTTACACCATCGCGGAGTATACTCAGCAGTGGTGAAAGGAAGAAAATACCTCGCTGCGATAATCTGTATCTTTGCATCATAACCTACGCTGTGCAACTGACCATCTTTTAGCTTCATCGTCAACTGCGCGTATGAGTGTGAAGGAAGCATTGTTTCGAACGATTCATTCATACAAGTCAATGCGATGTGTCCACAGTGGCATAGCGTCATTTGCGAAAGGTGTGAACTTTTTTTGTGTTTCATGTACCATTCGTGTACAGCGAGTAGTTGCAAACTTTTCTTGTTTTTTCTCACTTATAATCGTTAGCCGCTGTGCGAAATTGTAGGCTTCTTAGGTTTAGCGATCTCTGCTTCTCTGCTCCTGTGCTCATCATCATTTCACATGTTAATATTAGATGATCCACTGTTTCGACAAGAAACAACACTTATCATAACATTATATCGTCCAGCCATAATGATGCTGCGGTCTGTGCAGCGAAACGCGTTGACATTAAACTTTTACCATCTGTTGTATTTAGTGCTCCGAACCGGGAATCATTCAGACAAATCATTCAGACTTATCATCCTCAGTGCTGTTGCATTTTTTAGAGTTATTCAGTACTGTTTCGTTCAAAACCTGTTCTGTCCTGCCATCGACCCCCAAGGCAGAAACTGCTCTGCGACGTTAGACGATTGTCTATATATGCCTAATGGCGAAACGGTACGAACGACGCAGATAGAGCACCTGGACGATGAACAGCGGCGCAGGTTACTTAATGGCATAAATGACGTACTGTCTGGCCGTTTCGTTCCTCCAGAGCCGACTGACCGTAAATATCCTATTTCTGCATCGTGCCTACCGTCAATGATACCCTGCCAGGTACGGACCACTAGTCAGCTTTTTAACCGCATTGATGTTCTTTAGACCATTACCCCATATTCGTATACGACGTCATACATCACTGGTGTCCGCCAACTGGATATAGAACTGCGGGAGTATTTTACTTTCTTCAGGGAAAGGTAAAAACTAGTAACTGTTAAATCTTGTCGTTAATCAGAGTTTCTTGCTAGTTGAAGCATTTAGATGCATTCATTTTCATATTCTCCACATTTCTATTCGCAGGCAGATACTTTCTGTCACTGTCTACCTGATGATCGACTTCTGCTTCCCTGCTCACTGTAGAGTAGCTGCTGCTAATATCCTTTGTCACCTGCTGTTTTTTTTACTGCAAGTAGTTTTCCAGTAAACGGAAAGAATGGGGAAACATTGTAATCAAGATTCTTAATTCATTGTTCATTTCCTTGTTTTTGTGCAGTTTTCGATCCTGTTTTTATCTTAGTTTGAAATTAGGAGAGAATGTGTTTTGAAAGTTATTTTGGTTGTTACAGATTCAGAAACGCGATTAAAATTCTATGGTAGTACATTAAAGCCTACAAGTACATTGCCACACGCTGATGCTGTTGGATAAAGAATTCTTCAAGACCTTGCTATGAATCTCTCTTTTCTAGAGTCTTATCCTCCTTGATCTAACAAATTTCTTCAGCTCCTTCTGCCATCGATTTGGAGGTCATCCTGCGGGCCGTCGAATGTCTTTCTGGTCCATCGGTTGTTTTTGCAGGATGTTGTTTTGTGCTCAGTGCGTTTCAGCTTCAAGCATGCAATGATGGAGTGACGTGGCAGACCGCTATTTGTGTTACGCGTTTGTTAGTCTTCCTATTTTTTTCTGTTATTCACGACATACATTTTAAAATATACATTAACTTAACATTTAAGATTTAACAAACATTAATCCTTGTTAAACCACGTCGTTTACCTTGTCCTATCACTCCTTATTCACTTTATTTTCATCCTCATGATTCTCATCCATATCCGCTTAATTCTCATCATCATTCGCGTCATGTAAGTTTTGGATGAACGTAGATGAATTCTAGCACAGCGCTGTGAACCTTGCGAACCTGAGGACTTTTTTATCGCAAAATTTCAGTATCTGGAGACCACGGGATGATTGTTCGCATCATTCCTTATGGTTGAATACCGCCGACATTGTGGGATAAGCAAGCTGCTGAAGCTTTGAGTGAATCAGGTTTTAATGGCTTTAATGCACATCAAGTGGCATTACTTCCTGGGTGAAAATGCGGTAGTCTTTCAGCGGTTTCGATCAGGCAAGCGCCCTGTCGTTGACAACAGACAGGCCGTTTAAGACATTACACAGACTTCGATGACATCTGTGGACTTTAGTACGGCCCGTCGCTGCGTTGTAGAAGCAACGACTGCATAATAGATGCACCTTGAAGTTCTGTAAAACAAGAGTCGAAATCGGTGCTGGCTGTCCCTTGATAACACCTTATCTGAGGCAACGCAAATAAGCCGTTTAAGTAGTTATTCTGCGGTGATCCTAACTGCTTTTTAATTACTAATGTAGCGCATAAA